GTTAAAAAAAAAAAAAAAAAGGCAAGTCATAGACAACTAATACTATATGTTGTTGTTGTTATGTGCTGTGGAGTCGGTTCCAACTCATAACGACCCTGTACAAGGTTTCCAAGGCTGTAAATCTTTATGGGAGTAGACAGCCTCATCTTTCTCCCATAGAACAGCTGGTAGTTTCAAACTGCTGACCTTGCTGTTCACAGTCCGATTCGTAACACTACGCTACCAGAGCTCCTTATATCATATAGCACCATTTTATTAACCTCAAAGCCAGTAAATCTATGATGTTGTTGTTGTTAAGTGCAGTCGAGTCGATTCTGACCCATAGTGACACTGTACAGAGTTTTCAAGGAGCAGTTGGTGAGCTTGAACTACCGATCTTGCAGTTCAAACAGCTTTGCAGTCTGGCATATTAACCCAGAGCGCCACACCAAGACTCCGGTAAATCTATACCATGCGTTATTTAAAGATACAAATACATTTGGTAAAACCTTGTTTTGTTTTGTTTTTTTTAAAGGGAATGATAAACAAAATGCAACGGCATGACTGCCACCAGAGGAGAAAAAAGATGTAGTTAATGAGAAACAACTCTGCAGCTTCCTGTTCTTAAAATGGGGGTGGGAAGGTCAAGAGTGGGCTTTATTATCATGTTTCAAAGCCTTCATGGAAAGTTCATGGAAAAATGCCATTATCCTTCAATTCCATTTTTCCATGAACCTTTTGAAGCCCCTTCATACATTATAGATGCTTTTGTAAATGCATGAACTATTACATAAATAAAAAAATTTAAGTTAATGGAATAGTTCTAATAAATGACAGTCAGTAGATACATATTTAATTGGCACACTTATTATTCAAGCTTCTGCTAAAAACAAATCCTCTGCGCACTGGCTGATCCACAGGAAACACAAAACCCTCTTCCACAATATATGTAGTAAATCAATGTTCATTACCCTGAAGAAGAAATACAACCCACAAAAGAGTGAGAAGGGAACCACGGTCATTAAGCACCAACCATAATCCAAGGCCTGGCTAGAGGCTTCTCTAGCTCATCTTATTGCATGACCTAGAAACAAAACTCCTTTGGAAAGCCTCCCAGGCCCAGCCCACTCTCATCTAGCTCTGCAGTGAATACACATTAACATTTATGTTCTCACAACACCCTGAGCACAAACTCTTTAAACCAGGGATAATTTCTATATAATCAGCAATATTAATCTTCTGAATCTATAATTCAGTCCTGAATGTAACTCTCAAGGTATGAGTCATCTGTCCATTTGTTCAATATAGTTGGACAAGAAAAACTTTAAGCTTAATAGATCAAAAATCATACCCAATCAAACATTATTTCAACTTGGAAAAGAATATATGACCAAAACACACATGCACAAAGATAACAATCTCACAAGTAGTCAAAAAAATGTAAATTAAAACAATGAGTTTCTTCATGTCATATTTGTATATATAAAACAATAAACCATTCCCAGTGTTGGTTTGACTATAAGAAATTTACATAAAGTTTACATATAAGTTTACATGGTCATTCCAGAGAGGAATTTCACAATATCTGTTAGGATATAGAGTCCTGGTGTGGCACTGTGTGATAAGCATTCAACTGCAAGGTCAGTTTGAATAAGGTCAGCAGTTCAAACTCACTCACCAGCCACTCCTTGGAAGTCCTATACAGGGTTGCTATGAGTTAGAACCAAGTTAACAGCACTTAACAACATTAGGTTTTAAAGTGTACATATTCTTCCATCTAATACTTTCATGTATAGGTAGTATCCACCCATGCAGGAAAAATAATCCTAAATTTGCAAAAAGATCACCAGAACATTCTGTGCAGCAGCATTGTTTGTAAATGATAAAGGAAGGGGGAAAGGAGGGAGGGAGAGAAATATATCCATCACTAACCATTAGGTGAATGAATTTTTAAAAACTTACTTCAAAAAGAAAGAGAATGGAGTCCAGCTCCTCCCTTTGTGATTTATTAGTCCCTGAAATATATAAAAATAAATGAGTTAATACTCTAACACTTTAACATTAGAATATCACAAATTATGTTAAAAGGCATCTTAAAATATTTAAGCCTCAACATAAGTTCATTCACTCAAACAATATCAAGAGACATTCCAGCATACAATAGGAACACATAAGGACAACTGAGACAGACCACCTAGGTCCACATCTAGCAGGGCTATGTCTTGCTATTTAAACACAGCTTCCATTTCCAAGTTGTTACCCACCCATGGTGGTAGTGATGGTGGTGGCGGTGGTGGCGGTGGTACTGTGTCAGGGAGTCGGTTCTGACTCATAGCAACCCTGCATAGGGTTCTTGAGACTGTAAATCTTTATAAGGAAGAAGAAAGCCTCATCTTTCTCCCACAGAACAGCTGGTAGTTTTGAACTGCTGACCTTGAGATTAACAGCTCGACTCATAAGCACTATACTACCAGAGATCCTTAGCAACTCTTGGCAGCAATTTATTAATTCTCAAGAAATTATTTGTGAGCTCTAATTACGGCAGAACGCACAACAAAAAGCAAAGAAAGAGTTCTAGCTCTGTACTAGACAAAGCCATAGAGCCAGTTAAAAAAAATTTTTTAAAGTAGTATTAACTCTTTAGCCAATTAATTGGCAGTGTACTTTTGATAATAACAATAATAACAGAAATTAACTGCTAAGTGTCAGGCACTGTGCTAAGTGCTTGGCACACATCATGTAACTCTAGGGTCAGGAAACTTATCCTGTAAAGAACCAGAGAGTAAAACTTTTAGACTTTGCTAGTCTCTTGCAACCATTTAACTCCACTGTTGTGCAAAGAAGCCATAAACAATATGTAAGTGAGTGGGTATGGCTGTGTCAAATAAAACTTCATTTATAAAAACAGGGAGGGAACCATAATTTGCAGCACCCTAGATTTAACTGAATCACCACAGCTGTATCAAAGATACATCATTCATTCATTCACCAAATACCACAAGGGGTTAATCAAAACAAAACAGACAAAAATCTCTGCCCTGAGGAAGCTTACATTTTGGCAGGAGGTAAGAGAGACAGACAAGGAATTGAATAAATGAGAAAAACAATAGGGAAACCAGATGATAGAGAATGCCAGAAAAGAATGATATATAATTTTAAATATGGAAGCCAGGAAGGGCCTTTCTTAAGGTACCCTTTGAGTAAAAATCTAAGGGAGGTACTGGAAGCAAGCTATATGGGAATATAGGGGAACTGGACAGTACAAAGTCCCTATGGCTGAGTATACTGAGCAAGGTTAGTTAAGAAACTAGCAAGAAGGTCCTGTGGCTGAGGCAAAGAAAGAGGAAGAGTTGTGACAGCTGAGATTAGAGGGTGGTGGGCTTGAGCCCATTGTAATTACTTTGGGAATGGGAATTTGATGGTTTGGAGTACGGCAGAGTCATGATCTGACTCACATTTTCACTCCACATGTTTTTTTGAAAAGAAACTTTGGGGTAGGTGAGCAGAGAAGAAGTGTTAAGTGTGGAAGCTAGGAGACCATTCTGAGACGGCTTCAATAATCCTGGTGAGGATGACGGGGTTTCCATGATATCAGTGCAAGCAATGAGAAGAAGCTGGATTCTGGGTGTATTCTGAAGACATAGTCAACAACTCTAAGGCTTTTAGTCTGAGGGCTGAAGTTATCACAGGATGATTTCATTACTCATTTTCCTTTACTCCATGCATGTATGTATGTATGTATTCATTGGTAGGTACATAAAACAAATTATGTACATCAAACAAATTATGCTAGAGACAAGAAACTTGGAAATCTTACCCTGTTTTTAGTGGTTCTTCATTGATAATTCGTGATACACTGCAAAAATGGCCCCAATTTTTCCCTCATCAAGATATATCTGTGTCAACACTCTTAAAAAGTGGAATGCCATGTCACTTGCTTTGGCCACTAGGACACTGGCAATTGTGAGGCAAACAGTGACCCTGTGTACAACAGAACAAAACACTGCTGGATACTGTGCCATTGCTGCTGCCACTATGCTAGTCCATCTCATTGGGGGTCTTCCTCTTATTAATGATTCTCCACTTTAGCAAGCCTCCTTCTCCAGGGGCTGATCCCTCCTGATAACATGTCTGAAGTCTGAGACATGAAGTCTCGCCATCCTGGCTTCCAAGGAGCATTCTGGTTATACTTTTTCCAACACAGATTTGGTTGTTCTCCGGCAGTCTACAGTATTTTGGAAATCCCTGTGTACTTGCTGAGTATAGATACCTGACGCCACTCACTGGTGAAGAAGCTGGAGCTAGCTCACTGGAAAAGGAGAAGTCAAATAGAGGAGAACTAAGGTGCCTGGTCCAACAATTTACCAATCAGTAAGACATGCAAATTAAACTCTCCACTCCACAGGTGATTACAGAAACATGAGCCAGTCCCAGCCAGAAGAACTGTGCAGTTGGTCTGGAAAACTGTAAACTAAAGAGTGGCTGTTGTTTTAAATAATTCATTTTCTTGTATGGTTTGTTACGTAATCTGTTATGCAGTAAAAATTCACCTGTAGTTGTTGTTAAGTACCGTGGAGTCGGTTCTGACTCATAGTGACCCTGTACAGGGTTTCCGAGGCTGTAAATCTTTATGGGAGCAGAACGCCTCATCTTTCTCCCATGGAACTGCTGGTAGTTTCGAACTGCCAACCTTCAGGTTAGCAGCCCGATTCGTAACCACTATGCTAACAGAGCTCCTTACAGATTCACCTATACAGTCTTTATAAAAGGATGGACAGAGGGATAAAAGGAGGAAGAAAAAATAAAAGAGGCGAGGACCTTTTTAAAATGATTTTTTTTTTTTAAGAACTGAAGTTTTATTTATTTTTGCTATTTTGATTGCATATAACATCACATTTTTGTCCTCCACACACCTGTAAAATAAAAGTGAGATGGAGCAAGGCTAGGAAACAAAATAAAAATGGGGTCACCTCATATCTGAAATACCTACCAAGTAAGCAAACATACGTAGAGAAATAAATAGGTTGTATGTATTTTGAATGCCTTCCATTCTGAAGAGTTCATTTTCAGGCACTTTATCATAGCGCTCTGCTGCTTATTCATAAGGTTTTCATTGTGTAACTCTTCAGTAGTGGTCTGCCTCTCCTTCTTCCTAATCTGTCTTAGTCTAGAAGCTCCACCAAAACCTGTCCACCATGGGTGACCATGGTTACTGGAATTTAAAATACCGAGTACAGCTTCCAGCAACACACAACACACAAGCCATCACAGTACAACAAACTGACAGATGAGTGGTAGATTTCTTAGTCCTGCTGATCCTCAACTTTTTGCAACATCAGAAATGGCTGATCCTTCATGCCTTGAGCTCTTTTCTTCCTGAGGCTTCTGTTATAATACATAGTCCTTATACCCTTCTCTTTCCTCTGTTCCTCTCCACCCAACAAAGGAACTGCCCTCTAGTTCTGACTGGCGTTTTCCTTTATATAAGGGAACTTACTTCAAAAGTTCATGAAAAAATCCATTATCTTTCAATTCCATTTTTCCATGAACTTTTTGAAGCCCCTGTATATCCTTTTTCCTTGACAATAGCATTTCACCTCTACACTTGACTGTCCCATAGGTAACTCAAGCTAAGACTACCCAAAGATGCACACTTTCTCTTATCTGCAAACATGGCTACCCCTCATCCCAAATTCCCACAGCTATCATGAAACCTCACAAATCAGACTCAACATCCTAAAGGCACCTTTGACTTCTTTTCATATCTACTTTCCTTAAGTCCAAGTCTCATGGTTGGGGAGTCCTGAGTGAGGAACACAAGCATTCTCTCCTTTGAACTGCCAGCTCCTTTGACCAGATGTCTCCTAATTGATTGTTCTCACATGGATGAGGTTACCATCTTCTTAACTAGTTCCCTCACCACTTTACAATCCCCTTTAGAAGACAAGTTCTCTAAAAACCTAAAGAACAAAGTCCAAACTCCTTTGCAAGTCTAGCCCAATCTCATTTCCTCTGAATCTCTTTGATATACCTTATGTTACAAGAAAAATTACCATTTCCCCCCACTTATGCCCTCAAATTGGCCTCCCTGCCTTTGCTCATGCTCTACGCCTCCATCCGCAGTGCCATCCTCCTATACCTGAAATCTATATATGGCATATCCTGAAGGTCACCTATTTCACAAAGCCTCATTCATCACTCACAGGTAAATCATTTCTTCACCTTCCCAACAACCATTGTTGTTAGTAGGTGCCATCACATCAGTACTGACTCATAGCGACCCCTATGCACAACAGAATGAAACTCTGCCCGGTCCTGTACCAACCTCACAATCATTGCTACACCTGAGCCCATTGCTGCCACCACTATACCAATCCATCTCATTGGGGGTCTTTCTCTTTTTCTCCAACCCTCCACTTTAGTATACATGATATCCTTCTCCAGGTTCCGGTCCTTCCTGATAATATGTCCGAAGTATGAGTGATAAAGTCTGGCCATCCTGGCTTCCAAGGAGCACTCTGGCTGTATTTCTTCCAACAAGATCTATTTGTTCTTTTGGAGGTTCGTGGTAGTCTTAGTATTTTCCTCCAACACCATAATGCATCAATTTTCCTACAGTCTTCCTTATTCACTGTACAAGTGAATGCATTTGAGGTTATTGAAAATACCTTGGCTTGGGTCAGGAGCACCCTAGTCCTCAAACTGACATCTTTGCTCTTCAACACTTCAAAGAGGTCTTGTGCAGCAGATTTCCCTAACGCAATACATCATTTGACTTCTTGACTGCTGCTTCCATGAGGGCTGATAGTTGAATGGCCCAAAATGAAGTCTTTGGCAACTCCAATCTTTTTTCCATTTATATGGATGTTGTTTATTGGTCCCATGATGAGGATTTTTGTTTTCTTTACACTGAGGTGCAATCTCATTTAATATTCATATGTAAGCATTCTTCTGAACCACTGATTCAGAAGAAGTTAATCTGAACAAAGCATCAGGAAACCTCACAGCCATTCGGGCTATGTAATTAAATAATCTGTGTGTCCTTAGACCAGTAATGTAACCTCTCTGAATGCAGTTTTCTCCATTCCAAGATGATGACTATGGACAAGCCAGTCTTCTAAGCCCTTGGAAACTTCAAAATTCTATTCTCAGTCACTCAGTAGTTAGTCATTTGGAATTATGGCATTTCCATTCAATGTGGTTCTATGTGACCGATTTAAAATAAGGTGGAAATATATGTGCCAACATGAAAGAATCTCCAAAACAGACTACATGAAAATGCAAGAAGATGATGATGGTAGCTAACATTTACTGAGCATGTACTATGTGCCAAACAAATCAGAGAAAGGATAAGCACATGCCCAAAAAAAGCAACCAAAACTAACACAAAGTATCTAGACACAAAGCAAATATAGTGTGACCTTGTTGATTTGATTTTCAAGGAATGTTTTACATATATGTATATAGGGGCATAATCAAAGGAACATATACACATAGCACATTAATAATGCACTGGAAGGAGATACGACCTTTAATAGGGTCGCCTCTGGAAAGCAGAACTGAGAAGCTGGGAAAAAACACATTTCAGTTTTCATTTAAAATCCTTTGTAGTACCTTTTTGCTTTCTTTCTTTTAATGTGCATGTATTACTTGTCTTTCTTTTTTTTTTTTTTAATTATTTCTCCCCTTAAGTATATTATGCCTTTGGAATACTTGATTTCTTTGAGTCTCTTCTTCTATTTGCCCTCAGTCATTTCTTGTTCAATTAACACCTGTATATGAAAAGACTTCAAAAAGTTCCTGAAAAAAGTCCATTACCTTTTCATTCTTTTTTTCCAAGAACTTTTTGAAACCCCCATGTATACGAGAAAGCCCAAGAGAAACAAGGATGCCAACTAGTCCTATGTCATCTCACAACTTTGTTAAAAGCTTGGCAAGCAAAAAAGCATAAAAAGTGACTACCATGAGTTTGGAAAAACTTGTAATTTGTGATTCATGACACATGCAACTTCTAAAACATTCTGAATGTTTCGATCTAATGATTAAAAAAACTTAGTAAAATGCTTAAAAAAAAAAAAAAAAACTTAGTAAAATGCTTACCTTTTAATTTCAAACTATTTTCCAGTGTTACAAAATTTTCATAGAAGATGAAATATATCTGAGAATAGTTGGTCTCAAAAAATTGCTTTAGATCACTTGCATCCACATTATCTGAAAAGAAAAAATTTCCATTTATGACAATACACAATTCTCAGAATTCATAAACAACCTTTTCAAAACAAAAGAAAGTAAAACAGCTTTATCCCCTGATAAGACAAAACAAAACAAAAAATTATTTCCAACAGTTGATACTGCAACAAGGAGTCCTGGTGGGACTCGGCTGCTTACCTAGTTCAAACCCACCCAGCTGCTCCTCAGGAGAAAAACTAGATAATCTGGTCTCCTAAAGATTGCTGTTGTTAAGTGCCATCGAGTCAGTTCCAACTCATAGTGACCCTGTATAGGGTTTACATGGAGTAGCTGATAGGTTTGAACAGCTGACTTGCAGTTAGTAGTACAGTGCTTATCGTACAGCACCATAACAGAACTCCAGATTACAGTCTAGAAAACCCTATAGGCAGTTCTACTGTCACATAGGGTCTCTATGAGTAGAAATCAACTCAATGAATCCAACTACAACACCTATGAAGAGTTATGAACTCTGAGGTAACGCAGTACTTGACCATGTCCTGGAGCATTCTCCCACACCAGGAGCTTCCCAAAAGACTTGGAAGCTAAGTGCAGCAAGCTTAACATCCATGGAGATGAGAGCACACAGCTACTCATCACCTAAAGACCAATGAGAAGATGAGAAGGAAATGAGAGTATCAAGAGAACCAGATGACCTCATGTTAAAGGATGGTGACTGTGGTGGTGGTTATGTGCTGCTGAGTTGGTTCCAACTCACAGTGACCCAGTATAGAGTTTCCAAGGCTATAAATCTTTACTGGAGCAGAAAGTCTCTTTCCCCATTCAAGTGACTGATGGACTTGAACTCAGCAGCCCAAGGCATAACCCACTACACAACCAGGGATCCTGTTAAAGGATGGGAAGTGGGAACTTGTGAGAAGGCAGCTTTTGACATAGGCTGTGAAGGAGAATGGGTTTGTACATCTAAATACAACTTTGTACGACAGAAGGTCTACCTCGCGACAGGAAAAAAAATGTCAGCGTAAGGGGACCAAGATAGCTCACCATATCCAGCCCCCTTTTCCATCTGGGCCCATACACTCTATCTTCACTATAACTTCTGGCAGGTTGTCACTCCTATTCCTCTTTGGACAGTGGCAGTCAGCCATGAGTTCCTAGAGCAGTATCTCTCCCTGTTGTAGCAAATAGTTTTGCTAAAACTTGGGACTATGGGTAGATAAAGTAAGTGATGTAGGAAATTTAAGCCACTCAAATCTTCTGCTTGGGATAAAGAAACAACCACAACCAGTTTCACAATTATTCTAAGCCAAACCTCACAGCACTAACCCTTGTTTATTTTCCTCATGCTATGTACAGGATACTAAGGTGTTAGTGCTTTAGAAGGAAACATAGTAACCCTAGGAAAATTTAAAGTTTCCTTAAAATTCTACAAGGATTATTAAAAAAAAAAAAAAAAAAATGTTACTAGTCAATCTATAATAGAGTGATATTACTTTTTCAAGTCCAAATACTCTGAATACATCTGAAACACACTATTATGTCCAAATTCTATAAACAATAATGTTGGTAATCTAACAAGTTGTTTGCCTTTGGTAACTATATAAGGGCTTTTCTTTTCTTTTTTTTTTTATTTTTTTTTGTGAATTAAGTGATACTTTACATGGAAGAATATTAGCTTTACTTTTATCTAACGTATTTTGTTTCATTGCAATGATTACAATCCCTTCCATGCATCATCAAACAGCCAAAGGGTACACCCTGCAAGCCTGCACCCCCCAGCCCCCCAGCCACCAGCACACAGTCCCTCTCCCTCCCTGAATCCAGAGTCTCCAGCCACTCCATCTCTCCACATTATCATCTCTGCCTCCATCTCTGGCGTCACTGCTTCTCTGGGTAGGGTCCTGCACTCCACTCTTTTCCCTTGATGGTTCCAGGGACCCCTGCTCCTGGACTGCAAAATCAACCACTCCCCTCCTGTTGTTACAAAACATCTACCTTTACATTTCCAACCTTCACAGTCAGTACTGATAGCAATTATTCACTATTGTGCCACAAGAGTGTTATTCCCATCTCCTTTCATCAGCCCCAGACAGGCAGATTGGAAACCACTCAGTGGAGATTCTACCTTCCCCTGCACCCTCTGGAACTAGGCTCCCTCTTGAAAGTTTGTAAGCCAGTCACTTCTTGCCTTTGTAGCCCCTCCATTTTGGGTAGCCAATGTCTAAGTTGCCCATCCCTGTCAACCCTGCATACCGAGGGGGTGGGAGTGATCCTCGCTGTAAAGATTTGTTCCCTCTTTTGAGCTACTACACCCACAAATATAGGTCATGTTCATCAAATTGTAGCGGATTATCCTTTTTTTTCCTCTTCTTTCTTCTTCTAGTCAAGTTCTGATCATCCAGCCATTGAAGCCAGGTCAAATGGGTATTATCTGTAAGTATGGGTATTCTTGTGCATCTCTTTCTATCAGCTGGATTCTTCACTCTCTGCTCTAGCCCTCTGTGGCTATGTCACTGACTCTGGGCCCAGGAGTTCCCAGGTCTTGCCATACTGTTGGCCAACCAGGTCTCAACCCAGATTTACAGAAGTCTATTGAAAGCGGTCAGACTTAGCTCACATCTCATTGCTGTTCCCCCCCACCCCCACTTCCCCTTATCGGTAACCATCGTGGTCACCAGCAAGACCAAATGCCTGCTTGTGTATTCCCCTTGAGTCTTAGTCTTGGAAGGGGGTTTGCTCTTAGGGGACCTGACCACTTTCCTTGATAGCTCCCGGGCAAACAGCTTGTTTGTTCTTATAGTAGTCAGTCGGACTGCTGTTATTGTTTTTGATTTTTCCTGCCGGTCATTCTTTCAAGAAATATCTTCTGTTCTTCTAGCCACTTCAGGCTGTCTGCTTATCCTTTTATGTGGAAATTTCCCACCTCAGAAGATTCTGGATGGGGTTCAGGATTCCACCTATGGTTTTATGCAATGCAAAGGCTCCGCAGGAAGCCTCTTTCACTGGGAAAGTTCTAGTCCCATTTTAGGTAGTCCAATCAGTTATAGGCTGAAGACAGACTTACAAGCTTCTATAGTGATGTTCCTGACTATTCCTTTCTCTCCACCTCAAGTGTCTATTTTACAGTAATAGGCAAGGGAAACCAAGATTCAAAAAACAGCCAAGCATCTTAACATTATTTCTCCTCTTTTACCCATTCAAACCAAGCCTCAACCACTGTATCCCAGAGTCCTGTTTTTCCAAGGTTGAGCATACTTCATTATTTACCTTTGTCCCACTTAATCCAAATGTAAACCTGCATAAATGGTCTCCCATCTACCTTGTTCTTCTATTCCCCTCCCCCTTCTTGTGTACTGTCACCCTCCCCCCAGCACCCAAACTATCCTGTGGCTATTCCCTACTCTGTGCTCTATCTCCCCTTCCCTCTCCCTCAACCCATCCCATGGTGATCAGTAAAGATTTCTCCCACCTCTTTTAGGGATGGTTCTTTTTCTTAATCTTTTACAATAATGGTCCTATGTAGTATTTCTCCTTTTGTGACTGACTAATTTTACTCAGCATAATGTCCTCAAGGCTCATCCATGTTATGTGGTAGCTTGCAGCTTCCTTGTTATTCTTCAAGGTAGCATAACATTCCATTGTGTGTATGTATGATAATTTATTTATCCTTTTTCCATTGATGGGCACTCAGACTGTCTCCATCTTTTAGCTATCATGAACAGGGCTGCTATGAACATTGGTGTGCATATATCTACTAGTGTTATGGCTCATATTTCTTTTGGGTAAATACCAAGTAGGGGAATTGCTGGATCATAGCTATGGTAGTGTACTGGTTATGAATCAGGCTGCTAATCTCAAGGTCAGAAGTTGGAAACTACCAGCTGTTCTGCGGAAGAAAGATGAGGCTTTCTGCTCCCGTAAAGATTTACAGCCTCAGAATCCCTATACAGGGTCACTACGAGTCAGAACGACTCTACGGCACACAACAACATCAACAATGTATTTCTATTTCCAACTTTCTGAGGAAGCACTATATTGCTTTCCAGAGTGGTTGGGCCATTTTGCAATTCCACCAACACTGTAGGAGGGTCCCAGTCTCTCCGCATCCTCGCTAGTATTTACTGTCCTCTACTTTTTTGATCTTTGTTGTTATTGCTGGTGTGAGGTGACAATAAGGGCTTTTCTTGTAAAAATATGCACCGGTTTCTTTGACAAAATGCACATAAAGATGTTTTTAATAAAACCATATGAGTTGCCAATTTCACATTATATTTGCTGCATCAAAATAAAACTGAGTACCCAATCAAAACCAAACCCACTTGATTTGCTGGCAAAGAATCATGAAGGCAGAAGAAAACATAGCAAGGACTACAAGCATTAGAGGAATAGAGGTAGATATTACACAAACAATAATGCAGTATCAGTGATCTATGGATAGATATACAGACTGAACGGGTATAGGAGGGAGAGACAGAGTGTACCCATAAACACATAAAGGTTTGACCACCTGTTCTGAAAAGTATCACGTTAGAAGGTCTTAGATATATATATATAGTAAGAAAGTTTGGCTCAAGAAAACAGATTGCCACAAACTTCCTTTAGACAGGCAATCTTCCCCCATTCAAGTATTTATGGAAACCCTACCATGCCTGGTGTGGCTCTATGGGTTAATGCATTGCAAAGTCGGTTTGAACTGCAAGGTCAGTGGTTCAAGCTCACCAGCAGCTCCTCAGAAACCCTATATAAGGTTACTATGAGTTGGAACCGAGTTGATGGCACTTAACAATAACAACAACAACCATGCCAACAAGCACTATGCTAAGAAATTAAAAGAAAGTTGTTGTTGTTGCTGTTGAATGCTGTTGAGTCATTTCCGACCCTTAGTGACCCTGTTGTATAGGGTTTCTGAGGATCAGCTGGTAAGCTTGAACCACGGAGCTTACAGTTTAGCACCACACCAGGACTCCAAAAGAAAGTAAGGCATGGAATATACAATGTAATATACAATAGCCAGTAAATGA